GAAAGGCGATTCTCGATCTAACTGCTACGTTTTCCTTCTAACGTCCCAGTCCGAAGTTTAGAGTGCATCGTAATTTGTTATCGTTAAGCAGCCACACAAGCAGCGATGAGTACTAAAAAACACGTACATAGGTGATATACTTGTGCCGCTGTTTCCAGCGGAGCACGCGTATCGGCACATTCTCTGTTTTACGCTACGAGTTACTGCAGCAATTCGGTTCAACTTACATTCGCGATAAGCGTTTACGATCCTCGTACTTTTTATCCTCCATTTGTACGGTTGCGTAACGATAATAAGCAGCGATACATTTAAATTGCATCAAGAATCGCGCAACGTTCAAGCCGGCACGGGACTACCGCAGGAAAAACCGGCGAACGACGCGAACAGGTTTGTTCGCCGCTGTGTTCGACGGTGCAGTGAACTCGTGTAAATATCGTGCGTCCCGCGTACGTGTAGATACATACCTCGTTACGACGGGCCGCGAACGTGCGTCGACGATTGGAAACGCGATCGGTCGGGGATCGCGACAGACGCGATAGAAGGAAACTTGCGAACGCGTAGACACTGGATACGAGAGAATTACGGTGAAACACCCTGCAAACGCGATTAAAAAATCCATGAGAAACTGATACAAGTTGGATCCAATTCGTAAACGCAAAACCGTGTAATGTGGAACATTTTAATCGCGTTACGGGGATTTCTACGGTATTGATAAGTCACGTCGAAGCCAATGGGCCGCCGTACACGTTCGAACATAGGCAGCGATGGGTTTGAGCCTTTTTCATTTTTCGGATGAGCGCAACATATATCGTAAAACTGAAGGCTCGAACCGTGTTGCAACGCGTTCCAACGTGCACGGATGGCCTTAAGAGGTGCCGGGAAGCAGGGCCGAAGAGAAAGAGAGAGAGAGAAGGATGAGAGGAGGACCGACGTGCGCCGAGAATGGTAACAGAAACGATTTTAGCGAAAAGATCGTTGTTTTCTTTTCCTTTCCTCCTTCGTCGAGACGAGAGAAATCTCGCTTCTG